CATTTTCTTGTGAGTTCTTCTGTGTATTTTTGTTCATACTCAAAAGTTCACTATTTTTTTTCCTATTTTGAAGTTGACCTTTGTTTTAAATTCCCTTGATTTTGTTCATACTCAAAAGTTCACTATTTTTTTTTTCCTATTTTGAAGTTGACCTTTGTTTTAGATTCCCTTGATTTTGTCTATCATGGATAAGCACAGATCCATTGTACGATCATTATGCAAGTTGATGCCTGTGTGAAGCTTTACAGCACCAAGTTCAAGAACATGATTTTTTTTAATCTCAAGAAAGCAATTTTCCTATGCTTTCCCACTAGAATCCCATCAAGCATATTCATAGTTTAGCTTCAAGTATTGGTTCATGCACTGGCAAAAAAAAAAAAAAAAAAGGTACTGATACACGTGAGAATAATAGATTTTCATGAACGTGTGCAAGATGTAAGCATGTTGACTTTTGGAAAAAAGTACCAGGTGGCTCACAGGAATGCTTCAAAATAACTTTTGATTTGCATTATCCTATTATGTAAAATAAACAAGGTTTTCTAAATAAGTAAGAAGATTTAGGTTATATATGTGAAAAAAAAATAAACTTATACTAATTTGAAGTCATAATTATATTTAACATAATAAAAAAAATCAGCTCCAATTGCCTATAGCGATGGCCTTGCAACTACCTCCATAGGTTTAGTAAAATCGATTATCCTTTTTTTTTTTTTGTCACTTTGTACCTATATGAGAGAGTGAAATGTTTAGCTATACATATGTCTTAATGTAATTTGGCTTTTTGCAATGCTTCACCCATGCATTTCCAAGTTTAAGTCACTTATGACACTCCCTTTTATCTTCTCTATGCATGATTGGACAACTCATTATCAAATCAGATAGTGTCTTAGCAAGAGTCTCAAATACCTTGTTTGGTCAAGAAAAATTTGAATTAGCAAACTAATTTTCAAAATTTAGGTTAAAGGTTTTTCTCAATATTACTTGCATTTTGTTTTCCCTTCTCTCTCTAATTCCCTAGAAGGATAAGTTTGTCATTAGAAATATATGCTTATTATTTCTCTTCTTTTTTTTTGTAACATTGAACAAGCTAGTGCCAATCTCTTTATTTATCACATTTCTAAAAAATTTGGAGATGAAAAGCTTGCAACAATCTTTCAATTATTAGGCAGAGTTTTGATTACTCAAGTTTTTGTTGCCAAAATATCTAATGTGGGGAAATGCTTTGGTGAGCCAAACCTAAAGTTGTACTTATCTGTAAATGTGAATTTTTTTTAGTTGTTTGTATTTTTTGATTTGGAGTGATGAGGTGGTACTTGCAGGGTTTGTAAAGTGAGTCTCCAGAAGTAGCTCAAGCAACTATTAGGAGGATGAGTGAATGCGAATTACAAAATTCAATAACATAAAAACTATAATCTATTTTTTATAACAATTTCATCTTATATTTTTTATAACAATTTTACCTTGTATGTGCATTGCACAGGGTAAACATGTAAGTTATGAATGTATTGAGTGATGTGAGCTTTCCTTTCGTGGACATTAAGGGCCTGTTGTTTCTGTTTTTAAAAATTATTTTTTGTTTTTGAAAACAAAAAATTTTAAAAATTTGTTTGTATAAGTGTTTTTCATTTATTTTCTTCATTTAAAAATATAAAATTTTTAATCAAATCTTACCCTCCAATAAAATAGTTACCTACTTTTAAATCAATCTTACTTTTTTATATTTATTCTTATTAAATACCCTACAATAAATATAAAGTCATTATTAAGGAATACTTTTGAAAAAAAAAAGTTAATAATTACACTTCAAAAGAATAAAAATATCATTTATTTTTTAATATCCAACTCTTCAAAAAATGTCTTATATTTTTAAATAGAGGGAATGGTTGTTTTTAAAATTATTTTTATTTTTGTTTTTTTAAAAAAATAAAAACAACTTTAAGTTGTTTTTGTTTTATTTTTCTTGTTTTTAAAATACATGACATTCAATTATTGAAAATTATAGTTACATTGATCAATTTCTATTATTAATCACCACCATTAACTGCCTATAGCCATCATTATTAATTCATTTTTTATTCTAAAACTATTTTTTAATTAACATAAACAAACAGATTTTTATTTTATTTTATTTTAAAAATAATTTTAAAAATGTATTGTACAATAATTTTTAAAAATAAAAAATGAAAACAAAAACTAAACATGTCTTAACACTTCTCTTTTATTCAGCTGTTATTTATAGGCAATATTTAAAAAAAATTATGAATATTATACGATTGCTGGCTTTATCTTTGCTATGATGGACATATATTATAGTTTCCTTTATCCATGTAAAGTATTCATCATATAGTATATTTTATAATTATAATTAATATTAATTTTATCATTCTTTATGTTTCAATTTAAAATTTATTTTGTGAAAGGTTAGTTAGAATCTAGTTCTATTAGATAGCAAGTCATTCATAGTTACGTTACCCACTTGCATTAGCTTATACCTATAAATGTTGAAAATAAGAGGGAATCTCTCCTTCTACATGAACAAAATTAAATCTAAACTTAGCATTCATGTCAGGCTACTTCTCCTGTAATGCAAGACAATTTTATAAATATTTATAAAAAAATTAATCATTTAATCCTTATAGTTTTGTCTCAATTATAACTCAATCTCTTAAAGGTGGAAATATGCTAGACCTCTATCAAGGCTTACGTCATGATTTACTTCAAACCCAACTTAGCTTATTTAGTTAGGCTAAGTTTAGGCTTTTAATTAGGCCTATTTAATTAAATAGGTTAAACTTATTTTTTTAAAGCTTAGTCTATGAGCCCAATAGACCGGCCTAATTACATATATATAATGTAATGAAATATATTACACACACATCAATTTTTTTATTTAATTTTTAATCAATCTATTTTATTTCTAGTTATGTTTTTAATCTAATTATATTTATATATTGATTTTAATGTTATTACTTTATTATTGTATTATATTGTAGTTGGTAAGTTTTTCTTATTTATTATATATTATAATTGATAATTAAATTATATATTATATATTAATAGTTTTAAAGTATATTTGAGATGTTTAAAATTAAAATAAAGCCTATTTATAATGCTTATTTTTAAGTAAATATTTAAATAAACTTTCACGTTAAGTCAGACTTAAGCTTGAGCCATGAAAAAAGCTTTACACATATTTTAGATTAGGTTCAGATCTCTAACTTACCACACAAGCTCAAGCGTAGCCTATTTCCATCCCTACAATCTCTAACTTTAACTTATTATAACTCAATTCTTACTCAATTGTAACTAAGTCCATAAAATTTAACTCTTACAATTTAATTTTTATAGTTTCAACGATTTAAATATTAGTTCATATATCTTAAAAATAAAAATAAAAAATATTAAAATTATGTTAAAATTTATTACTAATATTTTAAATTACTAAACCCTTTTAATCTTTATCAATATTATAAATATTACAAGTTTAAAATATTTTTAATATTTGTAATTTTATTTTTAAGAAAATATAAGGACTAATATTTTAAGTGATTGAAACTATAAGGATTGAATTGTAAAATATAAAATTCAGAAACTAGATTAATTATAACTAAGTTAAAACTATAGAGATTGAAGCATAACAAGTTAAAATTTAAAAATTAGGTTACAATTAGGTTAGAATTATGGGAAAAAATGGTTAATTTTTTTAATATTTATTTATACTAGCTGTCATACACGTGTTTCCTTATAACCCACTCTTGCATGATAGCGACGCCAAGCAAGAGTTAATAATTGTATTTATTACGTTTGAAAAAAAATTAAACGTGACCGATGATTACTTATTCAAAATGCATATAATCCCTCTTAAGTTTTATTTTATGTCATGTGCGAATATCTCTTTTTAATGTTATGATATGATTGTTTTTTTTTTAAAAAAAAATACTACCAAGGATGACACTAGCTTAAGGAAGAATCAATAAGGTCAGCTAGAAACAAGTCATGTCTTTGCAATCCAAGAGGTTACTATATAACATGGGATTTAGAATTCATATGAGTTAAAAAAAAAATTATGCCCAACCTTATATAATGAAAATATTTATTTTTAATTAAATCAAGATATATGGATATTTCATATATTATATAGTTTACAACAAAATCTTATTATTAATATTATTAACAAGTTAAAATGTACTTATTTTGATTTGATTTGACAAAAATATAAAGCATACAAGACTAAATATCCAATACCTTGTTTGGTAACATGGAATTGAAATTGTTAAAGTGTAAGTAGAATTGGAAATTAGAAAATATGTTGCTTGATGTAAGGGATCTTACTTCTTTAGAGAATCTGGCCTATCAAAATTGGTGAAACTTAAACCTCTCTTTTACATCCTCTTTCATTTCCATCTTCATAAAAGACCTTTCTATGCTTCCAATATGAGGCAAAAGTCTTTTCTTATGAGTTATGAGTAAAATTAATAATCCAGCTAGATGTTATAATTTGTCTTCTCAAATCATGATGCTCAAACTCTGGACACGTTTACAATATGTGTGTGTTCTGTTATACATAATTATGTGGCCACCTGCATTAGAGCTACCTGTGTATAAAAACTATAATACTAATAGATATTAGATAACTAAACACTTCACATGCTTGGTGTGTGCTGTCACTACTGTGTTCAATGACCAAAACTTGTTGACTTCCAAAAAAAAAAAAGACAAGTTAAAATAAAATAATGCCTATGATAAGAGTGTTATAAAATTGGGACAAAAATAAGGATCTCATACAAAAAAAATAATACTATAAAAAAATTTAACTACCAAAACATGGAAATGAAATGATCTTACCCTGGTCATTCTTCCTTAAAAAATTTTGGACAAAATTATTATTTATTATGTACTTTTAAAAATTTATTGAAGCAGAGGTTGCCGGGTTGTATCCAACCATCCCTGGCTTCCCCTTTAGTTGGTGGACATGCATGCCTCTGCACTGTCTCTCTCTCTCTCTCTGTGCGTCCATGTCTGTGATTCCCAAGCTCTTTGGGCCCCACAATTTCCTTTTTTTTTTTTTTTTTGGGTTGAGAAAGGCAAGCCACAGCTTGAAAGGAAGCAATCCGAAGTTCACTAGTACTATACTAATCAGGTAAAAACATCTCCGCACACAGCGTTGGGCAGGTCCGCAAAATCCGAATGGCACCTCCATTCCTGGGTGTATCTCTGGCAATAGAGTCTGCACATCTCTAAATTTCCCTAGGGACATGCGTTAAAGACACGTTCCAATCGTTATAGAATAGTTCCCTAAGGCTTCTGATCAAATCTTGTAATGGGTGGGTGAAGCCACTGTCCCTTGAAAACAGTTTTTCTTGATTCTCAACTATCATCCACACCGGATCATTTCCTTTTCTCCTTTTCCTGGCTTTTCGTTTTCTACCTCTTCGTCTTTTATTTGCGTTCTTCTCCCAACTTGCGTTGCTTTTAGACTGTGAGGGATTTGCCAGGTGGGGCTGCTTTTGGATTTAGCTTTGGCAAGGATTCAGGCTTTCCTGGATTCCTTTCTCTTTCTCGTTTCTTCTTCTCCTGGGTGCTTTCTAGTTTTTTCTCTCAGATTTCTCAAGTTGAATTCTTTCGTCAGAATTTCAATTTGGATTTGAATATCTTGGAGACACTGCTTGATGGGGTTTTGATTTTCTCCCTGATTCCAAATTCTCTAAGGTAAATGGATTAATTGGCATTTCTGGTTTACCGCTAAGCACTTTTTCATTAAATATTTTTTTTTTATCGACTTGGTCTGCGTTCTTCTTGGGATGTCTACTGTTTTTCCCCCCTAAGAATCACATGGGTGCCAATTTTTGGCGTACTCTGGATTGCATTGGGTTTTGGATTGCTAAAGGATCCTTCATTTTTTTCCCTTGAATTTTATTTTTATCAAATGCAGTGGAATTAACGTGATAGAATTGAGACATCATATTTGATTTAGAATGGAAATGTTTGGTACTGTTAGCTGATCTTGATGATGCTTCTGTATTTGATGTCTGGATCATGCAGATTTTCATCCAAAATGGGAGACTCTGCTTTCAAAATTGGACTTTGGCTTGACAAGCTCATTGGATCTCTCCATTGACGCTGATCCTTTGTAAGTTATGTTAAGAGCTCAAAACATCTTTAGATGGAGGTGTTGTTTAATTGTAAGCTATCAAACTTCTTCGGTACCACATTTAAGTCAATAACTTGCAAATGTCTGTTTCTGGCGGTCACACTTTTGATTCTTAGAGCTCTTTTGCTTCCTCCAGCCCCTGTCTTTGGTGGGATTGAATGGACCAATCTTGTATATATCCCTAACCTTTCGTTGTCATCAACTTCTGAATCTGGGATCAGGCAAGATAAGTTTTTGGAGGTCCCTCAGATTGTATGGGGATTAAACAACCAGAAGATAGCATTTGCCAGGGCTTGTCTTACTGCAAGAATGCTGAATCGAACTCTATTGATGCCTAGCCTCAGTGCCTCGTTGTTTTACAAAGAAATTGACCTTCTGCAGCCCATTTCCTTTGACAAAGTTTTCAAATTTGAGAAGTTTAACTCACTCTGCAGTGGGTTTGTAAGGTTGGGTCGCTACTCTGATCTTCTAAATCAAACCCAAGTGCTTGAAATGCAAAAGGGAAGTGGAAGGAAGTGGACATTGGAGAGAGACATGGAGCAATTGATACAGTATAGCAGAGACCCATTTGATCAACATGAGGTAATTCGAATTGTGGGGAAAAACCCTTTCCTATGGCAAGATCATTGGCCTGTGAAGGATTATGCAAGTGTTTTTGAGTGCTTGGTTTGGGTAGATGAGATTGCAAAGGAAGCAGATAGGGTTGTGTCCAAGATAAAAACAATTGGAAAAGAAGCAAGTGGTGAAACTGATAGGTCTTTGTCACGGCCTCTACCCTATGTAGCTGTCCACATGAGGATAGAGATAGACTGGATGATTCACTGTAAAAATGTAGAGCAAAGATTAAACACAAATCAAATCTGTAGTAGCAAGAAAGAGATTATGGAGAGAGTTGGGAAACTTAAGAACACTGTAGGCCTGGAGACTCCAGTGGTTGTTTATCTTGCCGTGGCTGATAAGCTTCTTAATGATTCATCCATATTGGAAGGTTGGGAAAAAGGATTTCTTCCTTATGAGAAGAAGAAACTTGGGGTTGATGGAATTTACAGGAAGTATCCGTATCTAATTCAGTCTGCAATTGACTACGAAGTTTGCTCAAGGGCTGATATCTTTGTGGGGAACAGTTTCTCTACATTTTCAAGCCTAATTGTTCTGGAAAGAACACAGAAGATGATCAGAATGGGTGTATCTAGCAGTAGCGTGTGTAGAACTTATCTAAGATGGCCTTCTTATGCCTATAATATAGCAGGAGAATCCAATGGTCCTATGAAATGGATCACTAATATGTCTGATGCAAGTCTTCAAGCAGTCAGCTATGGAACCAGTCACTTATCTTGTTGACTGTACTATCTTTCTGCAACTTCAAAATGTAGAGTAGATTAGCAAAGGAAAGTAGAAAGGATTTTTTTTTATCTTTGTTTATATTTATTTTCCCTTTGTATTCTCTTTTGAAGGTGGTATGACTTGGTAGGCTGAGGAAACTTTTCTTCTAGCTCTGTCCTTTTTTCTTTGATATAGAAAAAAATGTATCAAATATTTTATATTCATGCTGAAGAAGAATTTGACTATGTTTGAGATTTTTTTTTTTTTCACTCAATATATTTCCTTTCTTTCTTTTGAAATATATTATCATATTATATACTAAACATGTGGGACCTACTTAGGGATGCAAGCTCATCCATTTATTTTATCTGGGGAGATGGTTATCTGACGGAAGTGGGGTCTGCTGCTGACTGCTGTCTGCAATTGTTTTCTTTAGTACTCGCAGCCAGGCTTGAGTTTCAATATTTAACAACATTCTTGTGTCTCTTCAATAATGTTAGCAGCTAAAAGGTATCATCTTTTTCTTCTTCTTTATGCACACATTCACCCACATACCACAAATCTTCTTCTTCACTTTGATTTCTGCCAAAAAATGATTGCAGAAGGTTTATATACACGTGCATATTTTATTACGGCAGGAGGGTTGAACTTTACATTTCTGACTCAAGCATGAATATTTTGGAGAATTCATTTTCTGACAACTACTGATCAGCAGCATTATTTATACAAATTTAAATATGTTTAAAAAAGAATGGCGGTCAGAAGTTCAAAGAAAGTGCAATTTAAGGTAAATTTGCATGATTGTGTGCTTGTGGGAGTTAGATGTATAACTATAAGTAGAAGAAGCAACAAGGTACAATTGAGCTGTAATAGTCTTTGCTTTTAATGAAGTGGGGCTCTTATGTCTTATCTTACCTACACATGGATCTTCATCCTCTTCCTCTGGTGGCTCCACTATAATATTTTTCCTCCTTGCAACATAACATGGTAAATGTAAATCCACTCATAGATCTTGAAATCACAGTCCACAGTTTTCTTCTTCATTCACTCACTATGCCTTTTCTGTGGACGGATCAATGTGACTCAGATATTTTCCACTTCATGTTTATCTTCAACTCTTCATCTCAAGTTAATTTGATGAAAAGTATTAGTACTCACATGTCCAGTTCCGTTCTGCTTGTGTGTTTCATTATGTAGAGAGAGAAGGGGGGGCGGTTGGTCATGCAATGATTGTGAAGGTGGGGTCAGAAGCAGAAGCTGCGATCATAGTTATGAAGTCACTGTCCTACAAGTAGAGGGGGTGGTTCTCATTCCCAGCTCACTGTTATTGTCATTTTCATTTGGCCTTGTTGTCCAGTTTATATTTTAAAATATTTAAAATTTATTTCAAAATGTTGAGTAATCATAAATATAAGATGTCCTCCCTGTCCTTGGTTAAATACTTAAATTTATTATTTATTCCTGACATTCTTAGCCTGGGAATCAATTCTATCCTTCATTCTTAACATAAAATATTCTCGCTTCTCAGTACTGTTTCTGCTGAAAAATAGTTGTTAATTAATGATAAAACAAAAAGAAGAAAGAAAAATTGAAGCAACTATCAAATAAAAATCAAAGGACACCCAACTAGGTTACAGTAACTTACCGGGGCCCTCATTCTAAGGGTCTGTTTAGTTTAACATGGAAGAAAAGTAGGGAGAGATTTTAAAATTATTTTTGGATGATAATGTTATGTTGTTTGATTTATTATAAGTAAGAGAAATAATAATTTATGAATTATTATACTCTTAATCATATTTTTGAACCAGATGAGGAAAGGTGAACAAACATCTTCGTACTTCCAAATGCCTCCAACCAAAGAGATAAATAAATAATCCTTCTTTTGCTGAAAAAGAAGAGAGAGAGAGAGAGAGAGAGAGAGAAACAAGGAGTTGAGATTCAATTCTCATTCTTAAAAGGATGGAGCTAACTTAAGTGGAGAATCTACTTTTTGTCTTCATTATCTCAACGGAGCTCATTAAATTGCAGTGCAAGACACTCTTGATTCATTTAAAAAACAAAAAACAAAGGAGAATGCTAAAATATTTAAAATTGTGTATTTATTTCCATCAAAGCACGATAGTGCATTTTAAACTTAATACTCAATAAGTTAAAAGTAAATGATAAAAAAAAATCCATTTATTTAAATTTCAATAAAAATAAGAACACTAATTAAGTGAGTTCAAGTTCCTAGATGTTTTTCCATATCAAATACTTTATTTGATTCTACTTATAAATTACTTTCAATATTTTTATTAAATTCAAGAAAAATCTTAAACTTCGTTAATTCTCTCTAAAAATTCAAAAAAATTTCAATTTTTTTCTATTAAATATACATTTTTAAAAAAATAAAATACTATAGCATGTAATAACATGCCCAATATTTAATAGGAACAAAAAGATAAAAATAAATACAATAATGATTAAAGTATCCTATAAATATAACCAAAATAAATAATATTTTTTGCTCTATAAATAAGATTAAATGAGTATATCTTTGATGGCCGAGGCTACATTATTGACTTGGCTTCCACAGTCATGTTTATATATCAGTTTAAATTTAGATTATTAAACATTTTGTATCGTTATGTTTTAGTTACTGTGTCATCAAATTTTATTAAACTCGCTTAAACTACTAAACATAAGTTTGTGTTACAAAAAATATGTTATGGTAGTTTATTTAAATTTATTATCCATTTTTTCCTGAACAAATGATGCATTGATGCGTTAGGGACAAAATAGAATCGGGTCTAAACTTTGTTCATAAACATTGGGCCAGTGCATGTTGACCCATTATCGAAAGGAGGTTCTGAGTGATTGATCCAAATTTTTGATATTGGGTTTGAAGGGCTTGCTTGGACGAAGAATTCTCACAAAAATAAATAAATCAATGATTCTCCACTGATTTGTTTCCAATGTAAAATAAGCAAAAGTTTTGCTTAATAAAAAAAATTAAAAGTTTAAAATTTAATTGAAGTCAGACGAAGAAAAATTCACAATACCAAACCAAAAAAAAAAGGAAGGAAAGAAATGATAAGTTATATGGCACTATATAATCTCACTTATGTAGAGGTAATTAAGTGTTCTATTTACCTATTTTTACTCTTTTTTTTTTGTTTGGAGAACATTTTGTTGAGATTTTTTTAAAGAAATAATCAAATAATCAGCACACTTGCGATTTCTTGACTCTATTAATTCAACCAAACATCATGTAACAGATTTAAAGACTAGCACTTCTATTTTTATATGCTTTAGATTATTATGCTTGCCATATTTTTACTTATTCTACGTAATATTTTATTAAAAAATTAATTTTTTAATCCTTCAATTTTTAATTTATTTATAACTCAATCCCTCAATTATGATTTGCTACGACTCAATCCCTAAACTATGAATCACTAAAAATTCAATTCCTCAACTTTTAACTCACTTATAACTCAATCATTATTTTTTAATTTTTTTAAAAAAATTATCCTCATCAAATAAGAGGGATAAAAGAAATGCTAATAGATATAAAAGAAATGTAGGATCTAATTTAACATTAAAAAAAAAGAGAGAACAAACAAAAGTTGGGAGACTAAATCATATACGAGTCAAAAGTTAAAGGATTGGGTCATATATGAGTCAAGAGTTGAGAAATTGAATCACAACGAGTTATAATTGAACAACTAAATTATAAGTTAATTAATAGTTGAAGGACTAATAGACTAACTTTTTTTATTTTATTTGTACTCGTTTGATATTTTTAACCTAAGTTGCCTTATTTTCGAGAGAAAAAAAAAAGCGTAATATTTTACCAAGTTGGATAAGACAAAGGGAAAACTCTGAATTTGCGATAGGGTAGTTAAATTTAGTGTTTTTTTTTTTTTCAAAGTGTTTATATATTATCAAAGTTTTGCTAATTCAGCCTATCGATTGCATATAATTAAATTATCCTTGTTTTAATAATTTTTATTGACATTTTAATAAAAATGATGATTTATATTTTATACTGATAAGATGACATTGTATGAATTAAATTAAAGCAATGCCCAATAATATAATCACTTTTCTATTCATTGCTGACATCTATTCTCATATTAGAGTGAATTATATTTGAGACATATCGAACTTCGATTTGCCATATTTTTAAAGACTAAACTCTTTTGCTAGACTTAACATAGATGACTGTAAATATTTTTAATTAGAAAAAATTTATATATTTAATTTTATATACTAAAGATGCTTATATCCAATTAAATCAAGACAAATATATTTTATATAAATTATTTATTATATAACAAATTATTGTTATTAATGTTATTAACATATTAAAGTCCATCTATCTTAGTTTGATTGTAAAAAAAATATTAAATATATAAAGTTAAGTATATAAATCTTATCTTTTTTTAATTTATTATTCCCTCTCTTTTTGTTATAAAGGTACCCAATATACAATATAAAGTCATAAATTCAAAGCATCAAAATATATCCAAGTAGAAAAATTAAATGCAAAGACTTTCAGACTTATCAAAAAGAGAAAAACCAAATACAACTATCTAGCAAACATCGGGATTCAAGAGATGCTAACGAAGCTACTAATTTTCTACACTTTTTTGTGTTGTCTCATTTTTCACCCTTTACTTGTTCCTCCTCTTAAGTTAGTCCTAGTCATAAAACAAGACTTTGATACCGTCATGTTGGAGTTTATTTTCCCTTGCTCTCTCTCTCTCTCCCTCTCTCTCTCTCTCTCTATATATATATATATATATATATTAAAAAAAGAAAAAAAAATAGAAAGAAGAACAGATCCTCTTTTCCTCCCTTGTAATATACATGCACAATCACACATTTAACTACTTATGTTTTTTTACTAATTTGTTCGATAATTAAGCATATTTTTTAGATAAAATTAAAATATACATAACTCCCGTAAACTTGTCCTTTATAGATAATCCCTTTAACCTTAAAAAACAATCCTTTAAATTTTCATATACATGCAAATAACTCCCTTACTATTAATTTTGCTCGCTAAATTATTAAATAATCTAATAATCGATATTTTTTCCAGTAGCTAATAATTGATATACAAACACTTACATAATTAAGTCTAATAATCTAACATCCAATAATTAAACTAATGTAAGGAATTTTTTTTTTTTTTGCCATTAAGTAATGTAAGGAATTGTATTTTGCTCGTTGGCTGTTTGGCCACAATGCATAGAACTGTAATTGAGGAATAGTAGGAGAGGAAAAGAAAGAACGATGGTTAGATCCCAAAATATTCAATTGATGATAGTCAAGTCTTGATAAATTTTTTTAAGCAAATAAATTATAAATATCTATTCAGATAATTATAAATTTTGGAATTTTAATTATAAATAAGTATTTAATTATCAGACATAACTCTTAAATTGTAACAAAAAATTTTATGTACAATTGTTTGAATTGATATTTATAATTTACTTTTAAAAAATTTTATTTATGACTTAACTATTATTAATTCAATGGTTTGAAACTTAATTGTCATTCTTCCCATGAAAAATGCTTGTAACGCACTATGCTTACATTTCGTTAGGCCATTAATGAACGTGCCTGTTTGGATGTGCGTCAACAATCAATTCTTTGAACCAAAACCACGATTTTGACAAAAAAATAAAATTCGAAACACTTCCATTTTCTCATAATTGATTATTTGAATCAAAATCACGTTTTTCATTAAGCTGAGGGAAGTAGTTTCTGGATTTCAATTATACTATCAGATGTATTTATTATTTGTCAAAAATTTCCTGTGCCATATATACCTTCAACCATATCCCCCTATATTTGTCCTCCCTCCTCCATCCAATATCCAATTTATTAAGCTTATTTGAATTCAGGCTTGGTCCGTATTTCTTTGGATTTATTCAAGCAATAGGAATAAACCCAAAGTAACAAAGAAAAACAAAATTAAACCCTCAAGTTTGACCCTAAACTTTTTTGAATTTATTCAAGTTGGCCCATCAAATTTGACCAAAATCACCACTTCTATTTTGATTCATATAATTGATTATCTCCCATATCCAAACGGGCCAGCACTGTGAAAGAGAATCTGCAGTTTTGAGTCACATTAATTATTTGCACAATCTCTGCTATACACATTTCAATATCACTCTGAAGCTTAGGGAACCAGACATCATTGAAGCAGCCAACCAATTTGATATGGTAACAATTAAAGAGATAGTTCGTTCACAGATATCCTTAACATGAAATTGAGTTCTTACACTACAGACTATCTACATGCTTCAGGAATGAAGATTCCATTTCTCTCTGTTTTTTTTCAATCTGTATTTTTTTTTTTTTTTAAAGAAAGAAAGTGTAGCAACTTGGACTTTTTATTGCAACTGAAAACCAAAAGGCCCTCTATGAGAGAAGTTGCTAGGGCTGACACACTTTGCAACCATTAACATGTTTAAATTACAAGATTCTGACTCATTTGTCTTCCTCATCTTCAACTTCGTCAATTCCAACCCAACGAGTAAATGCAAAAAGAAACTCCTTGAAACTCACCATTCCATTATTATCCCAGTCCATCTCTTCTGCAGAATTGTTTGCGAAAGTTAGAAAATAATTAGTTGGCAGTGAGTAATGCTTTGTAAAAAGTAAGACAAATAGCCAATAGGGAGAGGATATGGCTGCTTAAACATGAGACCTTGAGTTTGACTCTGTGAACACAGAAAATGTCTTTGGTAGAACTACCCTCAATTTGACTAGACAATACTTGAATTATGACCTAGTTAAATATTGGGGTGGGGGGAGTGAGACAGATACATTAGGAAAAACTTTTTGGCAGAACAGGTCCACAAAAGGTGAAAAATGAGTGGACCAAAACACACATTTTAGTAAAACCAAGTACGAGCTGTGACGTATTTGTATAGTTTATTCATGACTAGTTTAGTTTATCTGTCTTTTGTAAAACCAAGTTTGCCAGAGAATCTCTCTTTGCATAGAAGCCAATGAAATAAGATTACACAGCTGGCGTGTAAGAAGAAACTTGTATGTCCACTATGTTCATTGTTTAGCTGCACAACAATCTAAGTATTTTAAAAACTTTCAACATGTCAGACTTGATGCATGACCATGGAATATATTAGCTGATTGTCCTTTCACTTTGGTTCATCAATTTTCAGACTATTCTCAATGCTTTCTGTGATTTGAAGTGTAGAAATATTATAATAGATACGCAGACAATCACACTAGATGTTTACACAAGGATTTTCATGTACAGATACTGCTAAGTACCTAGAACTTGTAAGTGTTTCTTCTTCAGATATTTAGTAATGTGTCTTGTAATCTAGCTTGATGATTGAATGAAGCAAAAGAAATTCTTAGTTATCAATTGGGAGGCTCTATCGTTTTGGCACAAGAATATGAATCCCTCACAGTACTATACTATGACAAGAGAAATCCTACCCCAAAAGCTAGCTGTTGAGGTAGGTGCATCCCACACTATTCAATGTGAAACTTGGTATCCCATACTATCAAATCTCTTGGCCCATCATGGAAAGCCAATGTTCCAACAGCTGCACTCCATGGCACTTGATTTCTTACCAGTTAGAAGCCTCCATAAGTAAACCTCTCCAAAACTGCCAATAACCTGGCTTTAGTACCAATTGATGGGTACCTAAATGAAAGGGCAAACCCTACCCCTAAAGTTATCTATTGAGGTAGAAGAACCAACCCACTTAAATACCCTATTGAGCATCCCATATTACACAGTGTGGGACTTGGTATCCCATGCTACCAAGTCACTATCACACCATCATATGATGCATGAGAGATTTGCACTATAACACAGTATGTGCATGTTTATGCAGACATGGATGCCTCGAGTTTATATACATGTAATCTTTTCCTATCAGAAATTTCCGTTTACACATGAAAGCACATGCAAAGAGGGAGGGGGGGGGGGGGAGAGAGAGAAAGCTAACCAAATCTTTTCATGGCTATTCTTCCAGAAGAACGCTCTCCCGTTGTAGTTTCATTTATGGCTTGAACCATCTCATTTTTGCTGACGTAACCATCCTTATTTTTGTCCAAGAATACGAATGTATCAACCAAAGTCTCAAATGTGGCCTCCAGATTCGGCATCCCAATTCGTGATTTCTAGAGAAGTCATGGGATACAAGATGAAAAGTAGCAAATGTAATTTCATTGCTTATGATTATCATTCAGATAAAACAGGGTAGCCTAGAATGATATCATCCATTTATATGCCTTCAAAATTTAGAGTTCACCGCTAAAGATTTCTAAGCTCGTAGCCACTGTACCTAGCCAACAATTATACTCTCTGTTCCATAAGTTTAGAAGATAATTAGATCATTCTATGCAAAATAACATGGACATAACTTCAGGTTTCTTCCCTCCCACAGTAGAACACACATATTTCGACCTTCCATAGGATAATGCCCATGACGATAAATTAGTTGTTCTAAAGAAAGGCATTGATAAAAAAGAAGGTAAATACCAGAAAATTTTGCCAGAACAAATAGAAATGAAAGTGTTCGCCATGCTGAACAGAAGCTTCTAAGTTGAAGTAAAATGCAATATGACTTTAATAAATAATTTAAACATCAAACATGTCATATGAAACCTGGCTTGTACTTTAAAAGAATAGATCATAAGAGTGTATCTACCAAAAAGATAATTTTTTGAGAAAGTTGCATTATGTGGATAGCAGCAGATGGCAGGGTAAAGAAACTTAAACAGCAAAAAGAATTCATTATGGATACAGTTCTAAGGGCGACCGGATCATCCTTGAAAAGATAGACGAGGCAGAGAAGCACAATAAACTCATTGAACTTCATTCCCATATCATCATTAATGTCACATGCTTCAAAAAGATCCTTGATCTCCTCCTCGGTGGAAGAAATATCCAGCTTACTGAAACATTTTTTCAGCTCTTCTTGATCTATAACCCCATTTGAGTCCTCATCTATTCAAAAAGCCATAAACATGAACCTCTTAGCTACTATAAAAAGATAAAGTATGTTTCTCCGTGTGACACTGATGATACTAACATTAAATTAATGAATGTTGAAAGCACTGTCAAAGCCTTGGACTATGCATAATAGAATTAAGTTCAAGACACAAGAACAAGCACAGATTAAAAGTTTTGGTGTGGCCTGCAGTCCAAGTGTAATCCAAAAATATGGAAATTTTCATATAATTAATCACTTTCTGTCCATGAGATAGGCATATAAGGATTTCGACAAAAACACTTTAATTTGCATTAACTAAGCCAACATTTTGGCACATACTTTCATGGCTATGTATTATATCCATAACATACTCCTGCCAGATGATATTCTCTGCTGATATATTGTACCTAAATACCTGTTTAGCAAAAGCATATGCATATGAAGGGGAAACCTACCAAATTGCTCAAATATAGATTTGCATTTTCTTAGATTCTCATCAATTTTTGGGAATTTCAAGATTATAGTGTTGAATGATCTCATGGAACTTCCTTGAGATGCCCTCCGCTGCATGGCTTCAACCATTTTAGCCTCAATCTTTGTTTCTGGCATCCAAACCCTTCTTGATGATTCATTTGTTCCTAATACACCTCCCATCGCTGCCAATCAACAGACTACGCAAGGATTCAGGCAAGATCCTTCAATATATGGGTAAACACGCGAACACAACTTAGAAAACATTCAGATATTGCATGACATAGATATGGTGAAGCAGGAAATTGCACTACTTATAGGAATGACAAGTAGCTAATAGATTAATCTCACTCTCTTTCTTTCAAAATAGAACTACTTTTATTTTTTTTGAGGTCTAACTTCAGATATAAAGCCTTTTGAGCATCCAAGAAACTAGGCCCTCTCGCCCCTTAACCTGACAGTGACTTGTCATGAAACCGAAATCAGCTTTAAAACACCCAAATGTCCAGGGAATAAAGTGTCGGTAAGGATGGAGAAGCTAAAAATTAATCAAAACCCCACAGGCTCAATATTGAGAGAAAATTACATGTGGTGGTGTAATAGGTAACATCATAAATCCTGAGGCCTCACTAGAATCTATTGAATATTTCTCTCGCTCCCCCTCTAAACTTTGCCTTTTGTGCGAACTCGTTAGCTGCCAGTGCCAGCAATCTTACGAAGTGTTTAGAGGAATCAAAATTTGAAGCCAATCAACCATAAAGTTTAAATTCCTCCTAAATGCTTTCCAAGAGCTTTTTAATGTATCAGTTTTCCACCTCTCCAACCTTCCATATCACTTATGACGTTTCAGTGGATAAAGACACACATCAACATCCAACAGTAGACAGCCAAATTAGGGATTCCCACATCTTACTTTTACTGTATCATAATGAGAAACGATGTTATATGGGGGGAAAAGACGTGCTTTATGTTGATGTAGCTGACGATTTTACATGACATAACCTTCACCGTATCAGAATCAAATGCAATAATGAATAATAGATGTTTGAACGAACATGTCATATTCCTCAAATTTATTCTTAAAACAGAAATATTAAACGAAATCCTAAAAGGAGAGGAATAACTGGTCCACAATAACAGCGATTTCATAGACACAGAACAAGGAGAAAGGCACGAGTAGACAGACCAAATCCGGAGGAGGAGGAAGAAGTATGAGAAAGAGGGACGAGCAAGATTTAAGCAAGCTCCTGAGAATGAAAACTGAACCCGATAAGCAGCACAATCAGATAGACATCAAAAATACCAGATATGGCCAACAAAGAAACATGCTTGTGCTGGTGGAGATTGCAGCGAATGGGATTTTTTGTTTGGGGAAGAAGATTGCAAATGAATTGAAAATGACTAAGTTAGGAAAGAGAGGGGTTATTTGTAAGAGTCAAGCCTTCATCTACCTGTGTGTAAACCCAAGTTTGTGGTGTGCCCACCACGTATTGGCTCCGCGCTCGGTCTAAGCGCATCATCATCATCTTCCTTACACTTGTAATATTGCGCCACCAAGTACCAACCACAGCACCCACATCAATAGTCAATAACAAATAAGAAATTTCAATTCTCTATCATGCTTACATATTCTGATATTCCTTCTTTCTCTCTTCCGAAAGTTTCAATGTTGTCATTGGCCAAAAACAAGTCCCAATTTTGATGCTTTATTACCATCAGGCTTGATTTGAACTATAATACCCCTCTGTTCTTGAACATGGCTTCTTGAGAAAGAGTTCTCATGGTCAAAAGTATAAATAAAAAATAAAAATGTTCGGAGCATTAATATTGATTTGGCATTGGGAGTCAAAATATAATGAGAGAGAAATTAGCAAAAGTATAATACTATTTTTTTTTTTGCCAGCAATATAGAATTTTCAGTATCATATTATTGAGCGCATTTTTCAAAAAATATATTTAATTTATGACAAATTTAATAAGTCTTAGTAATGTTAATTGTTTTTACATGTGGAATAGATAATTATGACTTATATTTAACATTGGGACAAATTCTTACATGGCCTCAATGCAATACTTTATTTATGCTCCATCCAACAAAATTGTACCAATTTAATTATATAAAATTTTTTGTGTCACTATTTTTATAACTTTATTTTTAGAATAGAATGTTTATTTAATTTTTGGATTTTTTTTCTTTTTATTATTATTAATAATAGAATCAATTTATATTTATAACTATTTGAATGGTATGTTTTTATTGGATGAAATATAGAAGACATAATGCACCGGTTCTATGCAAAAAAACTTCTTAATATTGAAAGTAATATATACAAGACCAAGAATCATGTAATTTAGCTCATAGAGGATTGTGTTAACTCAATTGGTGGTCTTAGATTCAAGTTTTGGATATACAACTGTGTCATTTATTTGTTGGGTGAGTTTGTTGCCCTTATAGTCTTTCCCAACTTAACCTAATGAGCCAGTCAAAATTTAATATAACTATCATAAATAGATTTTTTTTGATACCTTAAGAAGAGAGATAACATATACTCTTTCTGTTAAAAAAATGTAAGACATTTTTTAAAGAGCTAGATGTTAAAAAATGTAAGGTATTTTTAATCTTTTGAGATATAATTATTGTCTTTTTTCAAAAGTGTCCCTATTGATAGTGACTTTATATTTATTATAAGGTGTTTAATAGAAGTAAATATAAAAAAATAGAATTAGTTTGAAAGTAAATAACTACTTTATTGGGGTGAGATTCAATTAAAATTGCCTTATATTTTTAAACAGAAAGAGTAAAAATTAACAATAATAACTAGTCCAAGTGGTTCCAAACTTCTTTTTAGTTAACATTTCAAGTTGAAGTATTGTAAATATATAGTACTTCTTCCCTCTAAAAAATATATGACATTTTTTAGGTAAAATGTTCAAAAAATACAAAACATTTTTGGGTCTTTCAAGGTACAATTAATAAAGTTTTTCCAAAAATCCTTAATTAAAGGGTATAATTAATAAAAATCTTTAATTGAGATACTCTATGTGCACTTTTAAAGACAATTAAATAATTCATTGAGAGGCTAATTCAATTAAAAATGCTTTACAATAGTTAGTGGAGAGAGTATAAACTAACTTAACCCAAATTATCATATTAGTACTTAAGAAGATACTCCTTCTATTTTTATATATAAAAGAAAAAAACTATATCACATAATTTAAAAAAGTTGATTAATCATAGTAATTATGTCTAAAAATTTAAAAAAATTGAACTAAAATGTCTTATGTTAATCAACAAAAGCATGTATTAATTATTTCTCATTAATATAAATTATGAGGAGTGATTTAGGAAATATATAATAAATGCTTATTAAAATAAGTGATTTTGCTTATATAAAAAATAAATAAAAAGTGATAGTTTTTTCTTATAAATAGAAATAGATGGAGTAATAATAATAATCATTTACTCAATTTTTTGGGGATTCACTTTTATTCCTCAGGAGATTAGAACTCTCAATCAGTGAATCACAATTTGAAGGGATAAAAAAAAGGGGGGAAAAAAGAAAGTGATACGTAAATTAAAAAAATATAGGATAATTTTAAGTCTTAAATTTTCTCTCAATTATCAATTTATTATTAAACTTTGACTCACTAAAACTCATAATTTATTGGTTTAACAAATTATAACGACTTAATTATACCGAATACAAAAACTAAGCCGTTCTAAATTAAAAAATTGTAGGGATCAAGTTATTTTAAATCAAAATTTAAGAATTAAATTGATAATTAAAAAAAGTTTAAGGATTAAAAATTAAATTTCCCCCACGTACAAAGTGAATGGCCACTAGCATGAAGGGTCCCAAAGGGGTTTAGGAGAAAAATTAATCAATATTGGAAGCAGCATTAGTCATCAGTTATCACCGTATCTTTTATATTATTGCGTTATATGGTGATAGGGTCCTTTGGTTCAAATTCAAAGGGTTCATACGGTTGGTGAAAATGACCACCTTTTATGAATTATGCTTTGGATATTCTCGTGATGCCATTAAGCTTAATGGAAAGAAATTATTTTTAAAAAAATTAAAAAAAGAAAAAGAAGAAAAGAATTAGGGTAGAAAGTGATTGGTTCGTGCAACGTGGCTTCTAAGAACATGTCAACACAATGGCCTGTGATATTCTACGAGAAACACAAAAGCGAATCAATGATTAGTATGTATATATATATATATATATATATATATTAGGGCCATAGATTGCGCTTATCCTTTCTTTTTCTCACTTCCAACGTGATTGTCCCCTTTCAATCCACAGGATTTCAAGCTTTTATATATATATATATATATATATATATAAAAGCTTGCATCAAATTTTTATAAATTTTGTAAACATTATATCTGTTTGCAAAATTTATATTTACTTCATTTAAAAATATAAAATATTTTTTGATGAGTTAAATGTTAAAAAATATAAGGCATTTTTAGTCTTTTGAGGTATAATTATTATCTTTTTTTTTTAATATCTCTATTAATAAATAATTTTATATTTATTGTAGAGTATTTAATGGAAGTATATATAAATAAATAGGGTTAGTTTAAAATTAGACAACTATGAGATAAGATTTAATTAAAAATATCTTACATGTTTAAGTGGAGGGAATAAATATTAATTGAACCTCCTTCTTTTTTGTGCTTTTGATGGACTTAACTTTGATTCCTTTTCTATACATGCTGGAAATGATACTGATTTTGAGAAAGGATCTGAAACATAAGGTTGAGTCAGGTTCGTTTCTCCTCTGCGCGCGCGCGCGCCTGTGTTGCTTTGCTGCTTGTTGATTTGCTGACTCACAGGATTTGATTTCTATACCTCCTCGTGAAGGTGTTTCTTTTCTTTTTTTTTTGGCCAAAACCTCGTGAAGGTGTCGGGTGGATGTATTTATTGCTATGTTTAGACCTCTTTATTTTTTTTCTTTTTTTGCTTTGTTTAGTCATTTCTCTTCATACTTTTTTACGTGCTGGTTGAAGCTCTTTAGTTAATGAAGATTCCCTTTGGCCAAAAAAAAAACTCGGGTTGACCCAATACTAACCAAGTCAATGTGACCTGATGAGAGGTAGAAGATGACCGAAATGACATCATTTTGATCTATCATAACAAAAAAAACCACTACTTTCGTATATATAAAAATACAATCTGGTTTAGGTTGAAAAAAAGAGACCAAACTCCTAAAAAAACAAATTGCTCAAAAATGGTTTGGGTTGCAAAAAAAGGGTTAACAAAAAAAAAACAAGAGAATGGTTTAGACCTAAGTAAATGAACTGGGTCAGATTTGATCAACCAACTTGATCAATATTTAATAATGTAATTTAAAATTAAAATAAATAAATGTGCCAAGTGGCAAGTGGGGTCCACTAGAGGATTCATGTGGACCACACTAACCAAGAGGCCTGGGTTAATGGCGTCTAATGGAGGGACGCTTGTTGTCCTCCCATGTTTCAAAGGTGACATATGGCTTTCACTCTCCCTTGATGAGAGTTGACTTTATTAAAATTTTTAAATTTTTAAGATTTTTTGATTAGACTCATTTGAGATGCTTGTGCAAGTGCATGGAGTGTCCAATTGAGCAGTTTATTCCTAAAGATTCTTAAATTTGAGATCTATATTTTGATATGTAATTTGGCTATTTTTAAGCACATTTAGATCAATTTAAGAGAATTTCGATGCTTATGTGAATGAATTTTAAGTATTTAAAACTTGTAAAAATTATTCAAATTATTTATCATATAGATAAATATGAATTGTGAGTCCACAAAAAGTATTGAAACATTGGTGAATGTCTCTCTAAAAGGTATTTAAAAAAATATATATACTAGAATGTGATCCTTTAAGTAAGGATTTTAAAATAAAACCTATGGAGATATATGTGCCACTTGGTAAGGATTTGGAAAATGATCCAAATAAAATATTAGTTGATGTGAACCAAATATGAGTCAAATTTCAATGAAAGTGAAATATTCCCAATGAAATAATAATTGTAAAGTACAATAGATTTAAAGATTAAAGTATATTTTTATCTCTATACTTTCCTTCGAGAAGTGTTGGGCACCCTATACTAAAAAAGTGCATTTTAGTACAAAGTGTTCAACATTTTTCAAAGGAAAGTACAAGAATAAAAATATACTTTAACCCTAAATTTAAAATTTCACAAATAATTATGATGGAGTTTTTCCAGTGTCGAAAAAGGTGAGAGGACGTATAAACAACTATAAAAAGACCTTATAACAATATAGCATAAATTAGTTCATCTAAATCACTTCTTAGGCAAAGTATTAATGCTTAAAATGTGCTCACTGAAAAGAGGAAAAGAATTCTTGCAAGAGTTTAGGAAAATATTATACTAAATACACTTCATATTAACAAATTTTAGGATACGATTAATTAT